CAAGAGGACTGGAGCGGGGGCAATGCTGCTGCGTGGTCGTGGTTCCCTGACATAAGGAGTGCACGTGATTGCTCAAAAATAGGACATACCAGTGGCCCTTTTCAAAAGCATCCTTCCAGTTGTTACATGAGAACAAGACCGACTTTCACAACAGTCGCCGAGGAGCCGGCTTTCCGTAGGTGGCAGGGCAGATAGGAAACGCCTTTCACCTAACCGGGGCCGAGGGCTTTCTCTAACAAGATGCGTACTTCGGGGACGCGCCCGACTTCCGTGATACAGAGATCATTTCCTCCAACGATAAAGCCACTTAAAAATAATTCTTATTTTTAAATGTCCAGCCTGGGTAGTGGAAAAAGGCCCCAGAACCCAGACGGGGGGGAAAATCGGCATTCACCGAGCTTCCTTCTCGCCTCCGTGGGGGAGGGGAAGCTCTCGAGGCCACCCTCCCCCACCCACCCATCCCCAACGGGCCAGCCCCGCAGTAACCTATTTTGTATTTTTAAAAAATTACATTTGGATCTCTCAACAATGCTGAAAAAGCTTTTAATCCTGCTCTTTTCCCACAAGCGGACAAAGGCGCTTCCTGGCAACCGTGCTAACCGTCCGTTGGGCTTTTGAATCCGGCGACCTTTCGAGATGCCCGACCCAAAGCTTTGGCGCTCCTGCTCCCCCCGCCCGCCCTTCCACTCGTTCGCCTCCCTCATGTGCCGGGCTGCCCCCCACCCCGGATCCATCCTCACTCGGCCAAGCCCCTAGGACCTGGCGGTCTCGGGAGCAGGGCCCCCAATGCCCTAGGGGACAGGTCCTTGAGGAGAATAGGAGTGGGAGGACACCTGCGACACAACCGCCGCGGGCGCCCCCAGGCCCTTGCGCGCCTTCCGGCAGGCGAAGACCACGCCTGGAGGTATTAAGGGAGCGAGTCCCCTTTCTTTAGTCAATCCGCTTCGGCTTCTTTCCCCCACAGGCCAAGCGCCAGCAGCCTAACAACGCACTCACCATGCTGCAAGCGCTACCGGTCTCCGAGACGCAACTACACAACCAGTCAGCTCGCTCGCTCCACTCGGACTAATTCTCCTCCTCCGCCCCCAGCGCCTCATAAACACCTCCCTCCGCCAGATCCCTCCGCCACATGCCAGATAACGGAACATCACAAACGAGTCCCGGCCCTTTCCCCCAGGCACCCCCTCCCCCCCGCTAACTCTTCTCGAGAACCTTTTATCCTCCACAGTTATTTGCTCGACGATGCAAAGGGTAAAGAGAAGTGGACAAACGGACGACGTAAGTGGTTTTCATTCTCCGGTGAGCCGTTAAAATGCCCTCAGAGAGGCGCCTGAGGGGCGCTACTTTGCGGCGCGGAGGAGCATAGTCGTAGAGGCGCGTGTGCTACGGCTGTTGCGCCGGCCTCTGATTGGCTGGTTTGTACCTGCAATGCGTCACTCGGGCTCGCAGCGGCCGCCGCGGGGACGCGGTGCGGATCCTACCGTTGCTGCTCCGGCCTCGCTGTCCTGGCGACTGCGCGGGGCGGCAGGTCGATTTCCCTGCGCTTGTCTGGAGAACCTTCCTCCTCCACGCGCGCTTCCCCGCCACGCTCGCACGTGGTTTGCCGCCCGTTGGGTAGGGGTAGACACCTGAGTGGATGTAGAAAGACGTCAGGAAAACCGTACCCCGCGCTCACCTTTGTATTTCAGCCTCGTGGAGGCCACACATTTTACATTTCGCTCCCTCACAAAACCCGTGAAAATCTGGATCAGGGCAAAGGCAGCTGCTCAGTTGACTAATCTGAAAAGGCCTTCCGTTATACTTCCCACTTCGCCTTCCTTGACAGGGGTAATTTACCAGGGAAAAGAAAAGTCAAACCCCTCAGTACCCGAGATTCTGTGCGGTTAGTCACTCCCAATAGCTCCTTGGTGCTGTGGAATAATTGGGTTCTGGCTTGCAGTCAGTCCTGGGTCCGAGTTTTGGTTGGGTCACTTCCTTAGATGTATGACCTTGGATGAGTTATTTAATTTTTAGTCTAATTTATAAAATGGAGATAATAATGCCTATCAGATTATTGTGAGAATTAGAATTATATGACTAGAGGCCTGGTGCACAAGATTCATGCCCTAGGGGGGAGGTCCCAGGTTGGGGGGGGTATCCCTCAGCCGGTCCTGCACCCCAAGCTGGCAGTTGTCCATCCTTAGCGCTGCCCCTGAGGCGGGAGAGGCTCCCACCAGGTCAACTGGGCTCGCCAACCGTGAGCCCAGCTTCTGGCTGAGTGGCGCTCCCCCTGAGCGTCTGCCCCCTGGTGGTCAGTGTGCATCATAGCAACCGGTCGTTCTGCTGTTGGGTCGATTTGCATTTTAGCCTTTTATTATATAGAATTAGAGTGAATATAAAATGTTGAAGCACCTGGCACAGGGTAGGTCACTGTAATATATCTTCCCCTCATAATGAATTTGCCCTTTTGGGTCTCTAATCTCCCCAATTTAAACGGACATTTTAAAAACCGTATGACAGCTCCTTGGAACTGGAATCCTTGTTTGTGCACTGTTTGTGGGGAGTCAGTAAAATGGATCAGCCTCTGAAGAAAACAGCAGGTAGTTCCTTTAGAAATTAAAAAAAGAATTACCAGATTGTCTCTGCAATTCCACTTATAGGTATATATATCCAAAAGAACTGAAAGCAGAATCATGAAAAGATATTGGTACATTCATATTTATAGCAGCATTATTTCAGAATAGCTAAAACGTAGAAGCAACCCAAATTCCCATCAATGGACTAATGGATAGGGAAAATATGATTACAATGGGATATTACTCAGCTTTAAAAATGGAGGAAATTTTACAATATGCTACAACATGGATATTAACCTAAGGAAAATAAGTCACAAAAAGAATAAATACTGTATGATTCCATTTACATGAAGTACTTAGAATTGTCAAAATCGTAGAGACAAAGTGGCTGCCAGGGGTTGGGGCTAGGGGAATGGGGAGTCGTATAATGGGTATAGTGTTTCAGTTCTACAAGATGAAAAAAGTTATGGGATGAATAGTGGTGATGGTTGCACAGCATTATGAATGCATTTAATGCCAAAATTAAGATGGCAAATTTTGTGTGTATTTTATCACACACATTTTTTTAAAAAATTATCTCCTTGGCCCTCCCCAAAATAAGCACGGGTGTCCATAACCTGGAATATTTAACAAACAGATAGTGAACACCTACTGTGTGACCTCAATTTGAATATAACAACTGTTACCATAGAGGGGGGCTTACAAGGCACAGAGGAGAGGATCTTAGCTTACCACAGGTTTTAAAAAGGATTCCTAAAGATGACTCCTAAATTAAGTCTGACATGGTAAATGGGCAGGAAAAAAAATGGGAAGGTGGGGAGGAAGAGGGAATCAAAGTTTGGATGAAAGAAAAAAACAACAGCAAAGGCTCAAAGGCATGCAATTGTATGACTTGATGTAGGAGCTGCCAGTGATTAGGCATTACTAGAGCCAGCTGAGCTTAGAAGAGGGCACTGGGAAGTTAGAAAGGAACTAGGGTTTAATGCTCAAACTAAATTCCTTAGGGTGGTTGTTGGTAGAACAGCCATCTGGAAAAAAATCATCTTGGGCCATATCAAGTCCTTCGAATTTTCTAGTAAAAAGCACAAATGTGTGGACCTTTTAAACCTAGTGAATAGCATTTCTTAGCAAGCTAACTTTAAATCATTTCTTCTGAGAAGAAGGTTCCCTCCAGAGCATCTTCATGCCCAGCAAGACCAAGACCTTTTCTAGTGGCTATCTGCACCCATTTGTAAAGCTTCAGTAGAATTCAACCTTTTTTAGCCAAGTTAGACATTTTCAAATGCCTTCAAAAGTATTTCCTTTACTAGGCCAGAGATGGATTTTCTGTCAGTCATGCAAATCAGGCATAAAATAAGTGCTTTTTAAATTAGTATCGGCAACCCTGTGACCTTCCTTTCAGATGAATGATTGTTCAATGAAAACTCAGGACCCTGTGCTTCTGTTGTCCTGTGGTGATGTAATGATGCCATGGGGGAAAGGCATCCTACAAATGAAATACTATTAAGAATGTTATTTAAAAGTGGGTACCTCTGCTCCAGAATCTGAGCTGAAAACAGAGCCCTAAGGCCACCACTGCTCTGCATTCTGGTAGCTCCTAAGTCCATACAAGGTATTGTTCAGAAATTCCTCCTCAGATGGAAGAGCCATCAATAACCTTTTCCTTCAGTTTAGTCACTAAAAACATTCCCTCTTTACACATTATCCTATCAGTATTCAGTGATTTACATATGAAATTTTTAATGATGGGAAATTGAATGACAAAATACATAATCACCTCCTTTAGAAAATGAATGTTTTTAAAGAATTGATATAACGAGCAGGAGCTTAAGTCTAATATACAGGCGCATGCTTAGAGATGTATTATTGACTCAAGGAGCTTCCAAACAAGTATTTGGTATTGAAATATGCCTGTTAAAGAAAATACAAAGAACTTTCTGGTTTCTTGGGTTGATTTTCAGTAAGGCCTATCTACGGAAACTTCCTTGCCTACCTCTCCAAGAAGAGAAAGAAAATGAGGGGTGAAAAGTCAAGACTTACTTTTAAAGCCATTGTGGTTTTTGTGTATTTGCGACTGTGCCAAGTCAATTTATTTATAGATCATTTGTCTTCCACAAGATGACATACAGTGCAGCCTGACTTTGGCAATTGCCAGCTGAGAAGCCAAGTTAGTGACAACCGCTACATCAAGGCATTAGGAGGTAGCTGGTTGTATTTCTATTTCCCCCTCCTAACCAGTGAGATCTTACAGCTTTCTACCTTTGTCTGTCTTTGTAAAATGAGTATGCACTTCCTCTCCAGGCCTCAGTTCCTCAATTTGCAGAACACAGATAACACAAGTCCGGTCCTTTGACATTTTCCATAGCTTTTCTCCTTCAGCCAGTTGTGCGAATGAACAAGAGCAGAGGACAATCACAGTGGCATTCTTGACTGTAAGGCCTGTGTAATTCTCTACAGGTGAAAGAATTAAACCCTAAATGACTTAAGGCATCAATAATATTGCATTAGGTTCTCTCCTGTGCATCTAGAATACTTGTTATGTGCCAACTTTTAGAGAATTGAGAAATAATACTCAAACCATTTTCTTGTTCTTTGATTTGGATAAGGAGCCCTGCTTGAGAAAGTTAAGGTATTTTCTTACAGGATTATCGGGCAAAACAGAGCTGGGACTGGAATTCAACCAGGTCATGAGAATGTCTTTCCACAGCGTCCTCAGTTCAATGAGGGGTGAAGCATATAGGAAAAGAACTGAATCCTCCAGACATTCCGAATGGGTTTATGCTCATATACACACAAGAAAAGTTGAGGGTCATTAACTTTGATATTGACACTGTCATTCATTCATTTGCTCATTCAAAAAAATTTGAGATGTCAATTTAGGAGGACCATTTATCTAGATTTGCCTAGGACTGAGGAATTTCCTGGGACAGGACTTTCAGTGCTAAAACCAGACAGTCCCAGGCAAACTAGGGTCACCCTAAACCATTCATTCAATAAATACCAGCAGCCTATTATGTAATATTAGAGGCTGGGTGCACGAAATTCGTGCAAGGGCCTTGGCCCGGGCCCCCGCCCACCACCACTGCTGCTGCGGCCGGGGGCCTCTGCCATCTCTGCCTCTACCTCTTCCAGCTTTGTCCAGATGGAAGGACGTCTGGTCTAATTAGCATATTATCCTTTTACTATTATAGAATAAATGTGCTATGATAATGAGCACAGGAACCCGGTCATTGTTGCTCAGTAGTTGAACATCAGCTCATGCACTAAGAGGTCACAGTTTGATTCCCTGTCAGGTCACATGCCCAGGTTGTGGGCTCGATCCCCAGTGGGGGACGTGCAGGAGGCAGCTGATCATTGAATCTCTCTCATCATTGATGTTTCTATCTCTCTCCCTCTTCCTTCCTCTCTGAAATTTAAAAAAAAAAAATTTAAGTGCCTCCCTCTACACTGTCACCCCAACTATTTGCAGATATCTGGATGCACTATATAGTTTCCTTCTCCCATGTCTTTGCTCCAGCTGCTCCCTCTGCCTGGAACATCCTACTTCCTTTTCCCACTGCCTGCTGCACGTAGCTCATACTTGGCCCAAGCATCATACTCCCTATG